GACCATATTCTTTACCTCCAGTTTTCTTACTACCACTTTTCCAACTCATTTGGCAATTATGTTTTTAATTTCGACCCATTATCTTAAATAAGTGTAGCGGCTTGAGTCAATATACGTCTGGTGCTAATTCTTACGTTGTTTTATGACCGATTGACTGAGAATGGTCAGAAATACTATTATATCGCTATCATCTATTGCTCTTAAGGTTAAAATGAAATTGTGAGTTATCCTAGATGAAAAACGTGATTTATCTGTTAAAAATCCTACTTTTCTGGCTCTCATTGTTAACGGTAATGCCTTAATAAGTAGAAAAACATGATGCAACTGGTCATAGCCAATTCAAAAGTTGAATATTGACTAGATGTGCAAGTCGACTACTTTAATTTATAGTGTTTGTTTTAAGAAAATTGGACTTAGAATTGCTAATTAGCTCTTATTTATTGATGTCTAGGATATTGATGATAGCTACCTAGAATATTTTTGATTGATAACACCAGTATATACCAATAATGATTATTAAAGCTAAGAGAAATTTTGAATCACACCACATAATTACTGGCTCACTGGTCTATCAACTATGAGTGTCGTTTGATGATAGAATTTCAGTTTGACATATTTTTATTACTTCGGGATCTTTAGACGATCTCTCTGTGTCACTAGTAATTGTCACTTTCTTGTTTGTTTTCTCTGCAAAGCTGTCTACTCTCTTGGTTGGCGCGAGAATCGGTTTTCTAACCAAGAATATTCAAGGATTATTAGCCGATTTACAAGCTGTCAAACCACATTTCTTTTTCACTGTTCCTCGCGTTTTATCTCGATTGTATTCCGTTGCAATGGAAAAGGTTTCATCTGTTCCTTTACTACCTAGCATATTCCATTATGCAGTTGAATCTAAAGTTGCAGAACAAGAAAAGTAAGTGAATAATTCACACTATCATCACAGTTAAACCGTAATCAATTTTGGGTATGCAAGTTATAGATCTAATGTCCTTTTCATCTTATTATTAGCGTTCTCCAATCTACTTTTATTGTCTAAAACTGAAGACTTCTCAGTTGTCTATCTGGTTATCTTGACAAGCTAGCTGCTCGACTGTGTTCCATCTTCTATCATTTCTCTTCTATTATCAATCATAGTAGACTTCTTTATGCTTCACGTGACAGATTGTCTACTAACAGATAGTGCAGTGAATTACTGTGAAATGATTGCCGTTTATTTCGTAAAAAAGTCATTTGCTACCTACCTCTAAATTGGTTTCATCAGCACATATTTCCATGTATAGTAGTATTAAAGCACAGAACAAGTGAAAACTGTTATGAATATACATAAAAATTTGCGAATAATCTATAATATCTTGTTTTCTATAGTGATGAGTTGATCCGTTTTTTAATAGGATTTTATTCCAAATCTACATCGTCGTATAATTGTACATATCAACATTTATTATCTTGATTGGTAGTGATCGATATTTCTATGAGTATTGACTGTGAAATTTCAGATTTAAACAAAATGTGTTTTTTGAAAGTCAGAGTAACTTGTCTGATCAACATCAAAGACATCTGACGAGTATACAACGTATTGGTAACGGCAGTGCTGTTTCATCCTTGTGTAAACTAATCCTTTCTAGCTGAGAATATTCAACAGCTCACTGCTTCATTCATTTTTATTTTCAAAGGATTCTTCGTAGCCAGTGGAATCATTGAGTAAGCTATTCTGCGGTCTCGAGGTTAATGTTTTGACGTAGTAGCGGCAGTTTACCTAGTATAACTATCTCAAAACACTGGCGTTTTCAGCTCGAATATGTGTCACAAATTCTATTTCACTAACTTCCACATCGTGCATTATTTACCGATTGTGGGACACAGAGGAAAGAGTGAAAATGAGCATATATAACATTACCTAGTAGTATGAAAGATGGCATATGTCAATTCAGCAAGACTTCATATTTTCAAATTGCTTGTATTAAAATATCACACTATTTGCATTCTTATCGTGTTAAATCTTTCATCGACTTCAATTAACTAGATATATATTTACCTCATAGAATACGTTATATATTCCCTTCATTAATCTAACTACTTAACTTGTGATTAGTTGTTAATTTGATCGTTTTTGCCCAATAATATGATTTCCTTCCAACACTATCTGTCGTCTTACGAGTAAAACGCTTTTTTAACTATTGCTTTCAACCGCAAGTTAAATACTTCTTAGTACTTGTTAACTGAAATCTGAAAAACACTGGAACACATCCCAGTGATAAAAATTATTTTGTATGTGGTCACTTGATAATGTACATTAGAAAATAACATGAATTTAGTATTTTTGTTTCATAATCGGATTAGCTGCTTTCAACTGCTTGCGTACTTACTGTTGTTTCTTCCCTTCTGCAGTCAACAAACACTAGGATAATAAGTATATACTGTTGAAATCTGTAAAGGTTAACCATTTCTTTAACCCGTACATGTTTTTACCATTTATCAACCTAGTTTTTGTTTCTAACTAAACGGTTGGATTCACTAGGGTATAACAACTATTCTGTCGGTAACAATTCTTTTGCACGTAAAGTCTTACATAATCAATTCGTGTTAGCCTTCGTCTTAAAAATACGATAGACCGAAATAAAAGCCGTTGTTGCTTAACCGAATTCATGTTATTAAGTTAGTATTTAGAATGACTGAATACAATTCAGCAACTTCTCACTCATCAGATAGTGAAATAAAATTTTCTCGCTACCGTTTGTGTTTACAAGGAGTAGAACAGTGAACTATTAATTTAGAGTTCAAATTCTCAAGCTGACCGTCAACCAGACTTCTTCAGAGCTTCAGTCAATCTCACTTAACTGCACTACACAATCTTCCAGTAAGATCAATTCAATATTCTGTTTTGTTGCAGTTTATATAATTCGGGAATGATTTTTTTACATTGATCATATCCTGTAAAGAAGATATTCTTAAATTACAAAACACTATTTAACACCTAACCTTAACTTGTAACTCCTCTGATGAGATCAGCTGCCGACTAGGAAGTTCCAACTAACTGTGCCCTGAGCTATCCTTTCTGATTACTGTTAAGTGCTTTTCATGGTCTTCATATCTGTTTCCGATCTCCGTTGCCATCCATTTTATGATCTGCATCTATTCCTTGTTTACTGAAAATTTCGTGTTGGAGCCTGTCTTGTGATTCAGCCTATTTTCCGTAAAGTTTATGCTATCCACCTCCAGCGTCTTTTACTGGCAGCTGGTTTGTTTTCTGTCAGAGTAGATCGTTGCTGATGATCTCTGTCCTATTGCAATTTATTAATGATGACTATGGTTGTGGTAGTTCTTCACATTTCAGCTGCGTACTGTAAAACTGTTTTAAATTTAGACCTTTTTGTTAGGTGATAGTTGTTTGAGTTTCAGATATTCTTCATTCGTAGAGATGCTGCAATTACTTTAGAAATTCGTGTCTTGATATATACATCAGATGCCGATTAATGTGTTAGCAAATTCCACAAGGCTTTTCTACCCATGCCGTCGATTACTTCCTGATAATCAAGAAAGCTAATGTGTAATGCTTAATTGCAGCTAAATGATTGTTCGCTGATGATTGACAGTGTAGTAATTTGGTCGGTACATGATTGTCTAATAAATGTCTGTGATATTCGTATTGAAATGACAGGCGCCAGTTGCTACCAGTAAATTTGCTCTGAATACACTTAACCATCCATGCTGGTTATGGAACATCACCGACAACAATGAAGTCTCACTACTCAGATATGAATTGCGTTGAGTAGCAATCGTATAGCATTTATTTTTCGTATTCTCAAAATCATTTAAATTTATTTATTTGCAATTCATGGGAATTTAAGTATTATATTTAGAAAAAGTCGATGAAATGAAATTTCTTTCAAAATGGGAGATTTTATTAATTTATTTACTGGGGTATCTTAATTTATTTTCGCAACGTATTAAGTTAGTACTTATGTACTCTAATTTAGTTCCAGATAGTTGTGTGTATACCATTTAATATTGATACCCCATCACCTTATTCTCAGTAGTTATCGCGAGATTCAAACCTGTGACATTTTATATGAAAAGTAGGTGCTTAGGCATAAATCGCCCTCTTTTAACATTACGATAATTGTGGTTCGCTGACTTGCATATTGGTAGAAGATGAGAGTTAGAATAGATGTTATTTTTATTTTTGTGGAGAAGTGACGTGATTGAATTCAGTTGAGAAAAACTATTCTATGATTACTTGAATAACTCTTATGATTCATAAAACCACCGAGTGTGTAAAAATAAAAGTTATATGAATAAGTTACATGTCTTTACACGCCTAAATAGTAACCGTAATCCATCATCGTGACTTTACTTTACTGATGAAACAGAAATTGGAATCCTGCAATATATTGCCTTGTCTTAAGGAATTTTCTTTTTTTACTACATGGTAATTTGTTTTTCCGTGATTCAATCTTTTACAATGAGATGAATTTAAAATAATAATGTAAAATGGTGATGTAAAATATAATAACAATAGGTTTTCAATTGAATATGAACTATTTAATAATGGTCAAGTAAATTTTCTTCTAACAGATTTTTCCATCACGAGGCAATTGGATTTTTCACACAGTTAAGACCGTCAGTTGATAGTTCTCTGAGTTACTAGGATCGTGTCCATCATTGCATTTTAGAACGTAAGGTTAATATGGTCAGTTCAGATAAAACTAAGCGAGTATCATGTTCATTTAACTAATAGTAATAATAAAAAGAATTTTTTACTAGAAATTTTAAATATATTGCATTTAACCATCATCATCATACGAAATCGAATGTCGTCGAAATGACTGTGTTATTATTGTGTTGATGAAAAACGTGCTTAGAAAAATTTAATTACACAAAATGAAAAGTTCACATATTGAGATCTATCATCTAGTTCAATTTTTGTTTGTTCCTTGTAATATCTATCATGTTATTGTGGCGTTCAATATTAAAGTGCATAAAAACAACCTTGACCTTGAAAAATGAGTTTTGTGACCTTCAGAAGGACAACTTATGTTTAGTTTCACAAGTACGCCTATATCTTCGTTCTTTTTTAAATGTACTTTCATTACGATCTAAATAATCCAACAATTCTTCGTTTAGTTGCTTAAAATTAAGTAAGAAAATCGATAGAGATCATTTCTGATAGATTCTTTACTTTATATCTTTAAATTCTACTTACAAAGTAATCTAGCTTGATGAAATTCAAGTATGTAAACAAATAAAACCTCAACAAAATTTTGCGATTACTATTTGACTAGTCGCTAATACGAAATGATCAATTTGGTATGGAATATAAAGAAAGAATAAAGTTGACATCTTTAAACTCAGCCTAATACACAAAACAAATAATTAAATTTTTGATTATCTGAATCCACGTTGAGTGTTAACTCATTTGACTTCATATCTAAACTTGACGTAAAATATAGCAACTTGATTGAGTTGGATTTATTTTTATGCACATTGAATAGATAACAGTCTTTCTGCATTTAAATACAGAACCGTTTCTATATAATGGATACTGTCTGGTAAAGTTACATGAGCAAATTTTCAGCTTATATAAATTGGAATGAAGGTGATGGTTGACTGAGTTTTTTAAAAGTAATAAAGACTAGTAGAAATACAGCCGATATTCGTGAGTTGTCAATAAATTGTTTTCATTTCAGTGTATTCGCGTAAACTATCAACTAAACCTGGAAAATAAATGGCGACAGTTAACATACTTCAATATTTAGAAATCTCTAATTCATTAAAAAAAAATCTGTTTACAGAGGAAAATTAGCCAGAGCTGATTAAATGAAAGTAACAGATCACCAATAATCTTCTAAGTTACAAAACTCGTTCAGTTCATTTCTGAGTTGTCAATTGATATACCGTTATAAATAGATGACATTATTTAGAGCTATATTACCTTGTATCAATTTGTGTGAACTGTATTGAGTATGTGCTTCACAGTAACCCTGTGCATTTCCGACTATGTGCGGGATTACAGAATATATATAAAAATTAATATATAAATAGTTGTATTTTGGTCTAATGACAATGCGATTTCAGAACTTGTTTAAGATGTTTTTGGGGAGATAGTAAATCTTCATTGCATCAGTCTTTTGTGTTGTTTCTTCGCGTCGTAGTAATTGCAGTAGTTTCCGTCTCATAGCATAAACAGTAGGATTTAGCAGTAAGACAGACTATCCATCCAGACATAACAGTAACGACTGCCTATATATAACAGTTTGCTATCCGGATGTAACAAGGTCGACCACCCAGATACAACATCAATCTTAATTGAAACCTTTACAAAAACAACTGGCAAAAGACAAAAAACAATATTTGTAGAACGAATATAATTTGGTAGTTTAACTGTTCACAAATTTCACTATTAGATTATTTTTGTCGATGAGTGATATCACCTCGTTCAGAAGTAAATGCGCTACTGAGTATAATCAACACAAGATTGATAGACCGGTGTTGTAGTGATTTTTAACACGCCCTAGAACACTTCTGTGAGCTATTGTCGATTCCAAACCTGGGTAAAGAAAAAGGGTTTGCCTTAGAGTTAACAACCACACCTAGCATGGTGTAAACTTCGACACGGAACAACTAACCAGAAAAGCCAGTAAAACTCTATCCTAAGAGGTGAACGGTCTTCATGCGAAAGAGTTATGATACATGGTAAAAGCCGATTGTCTTCGAAAGCCACGATTCTGATTCTGCTCTTGGCAAAGTTAGCAGCAATTAATGTAGGTTAGTAGAGAGTCGGCACAATATATGATACCAGAACGATCATTCAAAAAGCCAGAGAATCGAGAATATGTGTTTTGGTTCTTCGAATAAATAGGCTCCATTGAACGCAAACTAGAAAGAAAAGACTTGCTTGTATTCTGATAATGAAGAAGAAAAAATATTCCACAAATACAAAGAGTTTCACTAATGCTTTCCAAATAAGCATAAATAACATTTATGAGATGGGAAATTCATGGTTACAGGATCATCACGCAACACCTTTTCTATTTTGAATCCTTACTTACTTGCGCCTGTTACTCCTCGTGAAGGAGCATAGGCCGCTCACCAGCATTCTTCATCTAACCCTGTCCTTGGCAATTTCGAATTCTGTCATAATAGAAAAGGTATCCGTTGCTCTGGGATATTCAGATTACTTATGTCAATGCTTTTGAAACAACTCATTGTTGTATTACGTTTGTGATTGCTCGTTTTTCGTTTTACTTACAATATCTTTTATTCCATTTTTCACTGTGAAATGTATACTACTGAAAAAACGTTTATAGATACGCTTTGAAGCTGAAAACTGTGTATAGGATATAATACCTAGACTAAGATCAGTGCATTTTACTCATTATTTATTTTTATAACTGAAGATGATTCCTCATCAATGTACACGTCTTTGTTACTGAAGCGAGTTTTGCTATATTTGAAATGATTACGAGTTCACCTAATCTGTGAACGGAACGAAGACTCAGTGATACAATAGCCAATAAGCTAGCTATTCCGATGCGTCCCAGTCCCGCTAACTAGAGAGAGAAGTCCAGGCTCAAAAGAAGGGAATCTGTTCCACAATCATCCAGAAGCACGAACAACAACAGACAAAACACAAGTGTATATATGGAGCGTAAAAATGTCCTTGGGGAACGTTACAAAATAGCATATCTAAAGAGACAACGAACCAATATCATTTAAGATCCTTCCAAGTGGGAAATACGACATGAAGGTGAAAATGGGTGCTTTTGGCGAGAAAACAAGAAATTTAAATTTTAAAATAGAATTACAAAAATAAGGCATTTACCAAGCGAGTTCTAGGGTTCTAACAGTTCCAAATTACAATAAATTCTGGATTCCTGAGTATTTAATTTTACCACGAGTAATGTGTATTCGCTGGTTCTTTTTTCTGTGACTTACACCTTAATTCACTTTACAAATTTATCGTTCATCAAACTTTGCATCATATAACACGAGCTGTATTTTACAGAGTTATACACCTAATAGTCGTTAAAGCCTTGTACAAGTTTTCCAAAGGGTTAAATAGTAAGATAAAATTATTGATTGAAACTCAGATTTGGATTCTCAAAATGCGTTATTTGGAAGAAACTTATGAGAATACTAGATTACTTATGTTGGTCAGTTTTAACGTCACACTATTTGTATTCCTTTTTTTCTCTAATCGTATCTCAAAATGCTCAATCCTCTCTGTCATGACTCTTGTTACTACCTATACAGAATTTGATTTGACAGTTTTATCTTGATGTACTAATGGGGTATGGCAACTTAAACTGATGTACATATGTATCAGGTTGTTCATTGAGTTTAACTGATACTTTTACGTTTAATTTGTTATTACTTCAGAAATATATACGATAATTCAAGTATCTGGGACTTTATATTCTTCAATAAAATTAGACGAACATTGGGTGGTCGTGTCAAAGTAATAGTCTCTGGTAGTGCACCCGTTGCAAGTGAAATTTTACGTTTTACACGGGCAGTTTTTGGCTGTCCAGTAAGTAAATGTTTGTTTTGATCATATGTATATATAACACTCGAACACCCATGAACCTGAGTTTAATCAATAATGATTTTTCGAAATCGGCGTTGTTTTCATACAATTCATTCTGTGGCATGAAGTTATTCAACAACTAAAATTAAACAGATTTATTATTCAAATAAAAAAAGAACAGACAATCAAATAAAAACTAATCGTGTGTGTATCTGTGCGTTTGATGTAAGTCACTATTATATTTCAGATCCACTGAAATCCCCCATTTCACTGACTCAGAATGATTCTGGTTTAAATTAGTTGTCGTAACTGTCACTTTTATTTAAGTTATTTAAGAAATATGGAAGCTACGCCAATAACAATGTTTTCAGATAGTGTTGCTACGTATACTAACTGTAGAAAGGAATTTATACTTAAGAAATCTCTAAGATAAAAAGAATTGTGAGAGTATATACTGAAGACACGGATAATGGTTAGCAGTGGAATCCAGGACTCTCATTTCGTCCTATTTGATACTCGTCAGGTGGATGTATCTGCATCCCAGAGTTGATGTTTACTCCGAGACTCGAACCCAATACCGTTCGCTTCAAATGCCATCGCGTTATGAGACTGTTCAGTTGCAGTCCCAAACATCAGTGGGAAAACTCAAACAACCAGTACAAAAACGAATTGTATACTGAATAGCTATTCAGTGTCTGGTAACTAGAAGGAAATTTCTTATTCATTACATCGCTATGCGATTTTCGAATTTGTAGTTGAAAATCAGATTTCTCAGTCGCGGATATACCTTTTCAGTGAGCCTCAATGAGCATGAAACTAAAATCTATAACATCTTGTCAGTCATCCTCAAAATCTAACATCATACGACCCTGTAATGTACCTGGTATTATTGAACGTACGCTAACTAGAATAGATTCTGCAATACTCACAATGAATCCATTAGCTTTCATTTCCAGCAATACAGGTTAAAATAGGATCGTGATTTTTCTAGAAATTTCTGTAAGTGTTGAAGCTAATTATTTGTAAAACTGTTACTTTCCGTAAAGTAGAACCGTGGTTCAATGGTGTAACTGTGACTTGTAATTATTTGATAACAGGTTTAAATGTTTCTACTACACTTCATTCGATTTCTGCAGTAGAATATATGCTTATCAGCAACACATTTATAGTATCTTTACTGCGTAGTGAATTTATCTACATCTTCTTGCTTGGTTTCAATAAATGGATTTCTTCATACGCGAGTTTCATCCAATTAATAACTCCATCATGCTACCATAACATCACTTTGTGAACATATTTAGTGTCCAGTCAATACTATCAGAATGAATTCAGGTTATAAACGGTGAATAAGAAGGCAATTTTATTGACTGATATACCTCATTCCTGTTCACATTTATTCTTAAGCACTGAAAAATATCTTTTTGTTTGATCATTGTTATTCTTTAATGGATATGCCCATGGTAAACCCAAGATACAGATAGATGTACACATAGATAAATATAACGTTAATCAAGTCTAGATACTATGTTGAAATCAATGAGTGCACTTGAAATGTGACGAATTGGCGAATAAATATATATTCAATAATAAAAAGGGTAACTCACAGTGAATCGAAACACAGTTGAAATCCATGCTTAATATTGGTTTTAAGTGCTACTATTTGGTTCATGAAAACTTATTCCTAAAAATAATATCAGCCAATATATTAAATTTAGATGCCTTTCAACATAATACTATTTGAATTTCACTAAGAACAAAGTGGAGTTTCTGTTTCAGGATTATAAAATACATGTAATTCAAATTTGAGCTTCAACATACCAAGTACCACTTAGACAACCGAATATTATCTATAGATCCTCTCTCAATAATCCACAACATACATCCTTTGAGGGTCAGTAAGCACGCCTGTATTTCGATTCATGTTCTCCTTTCACCCGTTACTCCTCATGGAGGAGCATAGGCCGCTCACCAGCACTCTCCACCCAACTCTGTCCTGGGCAATCCTTTCCGATTTTTATTTATCATTTTCATATCTGCTTCCAGTTCTCGGAGCAGTGTGTTCTTTGGCCATCCTCTTTTCCGTTTCCTTTGAGGATTACAAATTAGCGCTTGTTTAGTGATGCAGTTTGGTGATTTCCTCAATGGGTGTCCTATCAACCACCGACGTCTTTTCCTGATTTTCTCTTCAGTTGAAAGTTGGTTTGTTCTCTCCCACAGTAGACTGTTGCTGATGGTATCCTGCCAACAGGCATTCAGTATCTTACATAGACAGTTGTTTATAAATACCTGTACATTTTGATTATGGTTGTGGTAGTTCTCCAAGTTTCAACCCCTTACAGTAGAACTATCTTGACGTCCGTATTGAAGATTCTGACTTTGATGTTGGCTCACTGTTGTTTTGAGCTCCATATGTTCTTCAGTTGTGGGAATCCTTCACATGCTTTGCCAATCTTTACCTTTACGTCAGTGATTGGCTTGCCTTCTTTGTCGTTGACCGGTCTCTCTGGTTTACAATATCTCCCTGCTAGTTTCTTCGTTGTATCATGTGGTTGTTTCATATTACCTTCTCTTGCAACTTTTTACACTGTCGTTGCTAGTTCTTCCGCGTATTTCTGCTTGTCGACACTAATGATCTTCTTCACTTGCTTGTTTACTTTTATGTATTCCGCTTGTGCCTTAACTGTCTCTGTTTCTTGTTCGGCTGCTCTTAATTGCTATCTTCTTGTTCTTTCTTTCCTTCTTGAATATTGTGTGGGGTTTCGATAGTGATCAGTTCCTTATGATGTTTCTTGCGAACCAGCACCTCCTGACATGCTGAAGTTAGTGCTTCTTTGATCCCTTTCTAATCGTCCTCCATAGTAGCTTGTTGTTGAGAGTTATCTTTAATTCGTTGAGTTTATCAGTATGTCGAATGAAGACTGTATTGAACTTTTGTAATGCTGTTCCCCCAGCTGTCCAATGCTTCCTTAACTTCAGTTTTATCTTGGCCACAACCAGGTGGTGATAAGAAGCTATGTCAGCTCCTCTCATGGTTCTCACATCTTCCATTGACCTTGCGAATTTTTTATTGATACAAATATGATCTATTTGGTTCTCTGTGGTGTGGTCCGGTGAGACCCATGTTGCTTTGTGTATGCGTTTGTTTGGGAATATTGTGCCACCTATAACTAATTTGTTGAATGCACATAGATTTGCAAATCCCTTGCCATTCTCGTTCCTTTCTCATAGTCCATGTCGTCCCATGATATCTTCATCATCGTTGGTGTTTATCCCGACTTTGGCGTTTAGATCTGCCATCAGGATGGTCAGGTCTTTTCCTGAGCAGCCTCTCGTAGAACTGATCTTTATCGTCGTCATTGCTATCATTAGTGTGTGCATCACATTGGATAACATTCATTGTAATTCCCGCCTTCTTTGTTTTGAATGATGCTTTGATGATCCTGGGTCCATGAGATTCCCATCCTATAAGTGTGTTTCGTGATTCTTTGGACAGCATCAGAGCAACTCCCTGAGTGTGTGGAGCATTTTCCTCTTCGTGACCGGAGTACAGCAACATCTCTCACGTATCTATGCCTTTGCTGTCCAGCTTGGGTCCAATGGGTTTCGCTGATTCCGAGAACCACCAAATTGTATCTCCTCATTTCCGTTGCTATTTGACTGATGCTTCCGGTCTCCTACATAGTCCGGACGTTCCATGTACCTATAAAAATTGTTGCTCTGGTTGTTAGAAGGGGCGTCAGCCTTGCGACTTACGAAGAATTTCGGCTTTCTTCATGAGGCGTCATCATTCTTCCTTCAACTCCCAGGGCAGAGTCTAAATGGTTGGTTTGTTTATTCTGGTTAGCGTTTTTTAGCAATGTTGTTTTCTGCGGGGTGGGGTTGCCGACCTCATGCCTAACACTCCTTCTTCACCCGGTCTTGTGACCTGCTTTGTCCTTAGAAGATATACAGGTGGAGTTATTTCGATATATATGTCACATTGATGATTTCTACAAACTCACTATTTGAGTTCACATTGAAACATCCAAATATTAAGCATTGCTAACTAATAGATTTCACCTTCACTATATTCATCCACTGTGTTTGTAACCTATTATTTTGATGTAAATATTAATATATTTTTTCTTTTTTAAAAAAATACATTTTTAATAGGTAATAGTCGGTTATGGTTTAAGTGAATCATGTGGCGTTATTACGCTTACACTGTTTGGTGATAAAACCCTGGATCATGTTGGTGCGCTTATCCCAGGTGTTTCAGCCAAACTGGTAGATGTACCGCATATGGGTATCAACGTTGATAAGATGAAAATGGGTGAAGTAAGTATTCGTTATTATCTATTGATTGGTCAGTGGCTCAATCGGTAAACAAAGAATTTCACCCATAATATTTTCAATATTAGTTTATCTTCATTATTGTAACATATGAGAAGCGCAAAAAAATGTTTAAAATTAGGTTTCAAGCGATAAATATCTGTCTGCCTAGTACTCTTCATAGGTTTCCTGCAGTTAAATCGTTACGTAATTGTTAGATGATAGATTTATTTCTACAGGTTGTTGTATGAACGTGATATTTGATTTAAGAATAATTACCTTCGCAAACGATAGCAGTTAGAAAAGGCCAGAGAGCTCAGTACTCAGTTTTTCATTCATTATTGAATTGTTTCATCATATCTGTATCTTAGGTCAATATGTGACTAAATTAACCATATAAATTAATCAACCTAATTTTCTCAACTGAACATAAAAGTGTCCGTATAACTGTTGTGAAGATTCTCTATATCCAATGCAAATATCCAAATATTTAGGTTTCACTTGATTCAGCGAATGGTTATCCATTTTATAACCATTCAAAACTATGGACTTTCGTAGAAGAACTACATGGCTTTTTGTCTTTTATTAATCATCAAATATATGAATAATTCAGATTAATATGCGCGGAGAATCAATAAATTGATGGATTAAATTCGCTTGCTGGAAATCAGTTTACTGTTTCACTCTTTATGTATCAACTTTATCTATCCTCAATGGGTCAGTATGGTAATAATATACGAAATACACTGCACCTAGTCCCGTCTGAGAATCAAGTTAGTATCACTAGCTTTCACACAAATGGTATGGCTCATAGTCGAGTACTTAAACTTGTGTGTGATAAAAGAGTGACTAGTATACGAGTAGTTGTGTCACTGTTCTTTTAAGAAAACTGGTGGATTTTCGGATTTATTTTATAAGGATACATTTGTTGTTAGTACTCATGATATTAGCAATTATTTTGCACTGCATCGGTTGATCGATATTACTAACATCAGTTAGTCAAAAATCGTCGCGTGCTGAAACACTTACTTATTAAGACTAAATATCAGATGTTAGTTCACTTATAGTTTCTTCTTTATTTCATTTCTCTTCCTATCAATTATACAGGTATGTGTTAAAGGCCTAAATTGTACTCAAGGGTATTACAGCGATGAAGAAAGCACAAAACAACTCATTGACAAAGATGGATGGCTGCATACTGGTGACATTGGTAGTTGGACAAAAGTATGTTCTCTGAATTATAAGAGGATTTTTAGTCTAGTGGTTTATCTTTGTACCGAACCTATCATCTTTCATAGACCGCTAGTTATACTTAGATTGACTTTAGTTTTCCAAAACAATCAAAACTCGTTATTGTCTGGGGAAAAATGAGTTCAGTTGCATATTAACAGCGTACTAATCCTTTATTGTCCTTGATCCAAATAATTCTTGTTGAGTTATTCTTATATAGCTAAATCAAGTGCAGTTCGCGACGATGCAATTGTTACAATTACTATCACCATACAATTTATTAATTAGTTAACGGGAAGTGATACTAACTAGAGACCATAGTAAAGGCTTTTATTGGATCCATGACTCATAAAACTTTTAATCCCAAGCGCACCACATACTCCCAGGTATATTTAGTTGATGAATATCCACAAGCAAGTAGGCTTTACCTATGACTTTTTAACTGTTTGGGACGACCCAGTACTGAACCATGTGGCTTATAAGCTTTGAAATTGGCTTTTGATATCCTGTAGACTGGAAATTGTTGATTACTGAACCAAAAATATTGTCGTCTTCAAATTCCACTCCCACCAGTAACATGATAATCATCAGTGGCATAAGTGTAACTTTAATTGACTATTGTTTGAATTTATCCCCAGTTGCTTTTATTTAACTATGCAACATAAAATCTAATTCATTCGATTTACATACACTAAGGTTGGACCCACCTTACTCAAATATTAAACGCAATGATCAATATAGCCCTAGTTGTAACTTAACACTTCTTTTTATCACTGAATTTTAATAACATACATATACCTTCACTTGAAGCATACTGTACACATTTGATGTAGTGATTTACATTCTCACTAAATCCAAAATCAACATTTGAACATGGTTGAATAAGCGTTTTGTGCGCAATTCTTTTTGGTCTTATTTATCTTTTACTATGACGTTAAAGACGTTCAAACCCACATTACCGGATAAAACGTTAAAATTTCAGTAGCTCAGATTCTTACGAACATAATTTCATATCTAATGTCTTTTAATTTACTTAGTTGAGCCTGTTACCACTGTATATGATAGACTACTAAACAGGAACCTCCAGTCAGTTTTTACCCTAGACACTTATCCGGTTATTACTGATTGCGTGATTCCTACCTCCGATCTCCGAGGCCATATATTTTTTTGGTGTAAATCAGTGCAGTTCCGCCGTAGTTCTATCACTTCCTAACATCACCCGCATCTAATAAACGGATTTCTCCGGTTTTATATGAATTTTTCTTCATCCCAAATCTTTGTGAAAGGAAAGTGAGGCGTCTTTACAGTTGCTTATGTTTCTAACTTCAGTGCTTTAGCTAGTAATTGTCTGGTGCTCTGCAGTTCTTGATTTGTTTAATGAATTTGATGGTTTCTTTCATTGTTGGTCGGGTTCCAGGTATTAGCTTATATACATTTCTTTAAACCTTTTGCGATAGCTCTCTGTGTGTTTAGGCAAGAGCTAAATGCTTGTATGCAATACTTCAGTTTTTATCAAGTGAACACGACAAAGTCAGGAATGGAAGCTCTACGTAACGGCTATAAGTTTTAAAGACATTTACCATATATTGCATGGCAGTGCTCAGTAGTCTTCAAATATTGGGTGATATTGACTCCTGCATCATTTATTGTCTGAACAACGGGTAGCTCGACGTTGTTCTCTATGTATGTATTTGTACCCTGGTGACCAATATACATCACAACACATTTGGAAACGTTTAGCTGCAAGTACCGAATTTTAAATCATTCAAATCGTTTCTATACGATTTTCTGTGGCTATGAACTGTCCTCTTAGTATTGTATCGCTCTCCGTATTTTGATATTCTCGGTGTGCAACAAGATCGATAATAATAGAAGACTGAGAAGGTCATTTGCATATAGAGACAATAACACTGGTCCCCAAACTACCACGGGAGATCCCACTAGGAACTTTTCATCCAGACGACTTACGGTCAACCGATACCCTTTGTTGCTTTTGATTTTTGAGAACACACCAAATTTCTTGTGCTTTTAGTTTTTCGAGATAATCATATTTTTATCTAGATAATTAAACTACGCTTTCGAAATCATTTTACTGATTCTAGTCTTCATCAAGCTATTTGGAATATTCATTTATTTATTCATCGTTGTTCATGTATCTTTTGGTTATTGACTTCATACTCTGTATATTGCAGGTTTTCTTTTTACATTTCCATCTTTTTGTTTACCTATGTGATCTGTTTTTTTGTTTTTCTAAATTCTAGGAAGGTTGTTTAAAAATTGTCGACAGGTGTAAAAACATATTTAAACTCTCACAAGGCGAGTATATTGCACCAGAAAGATTGGAAAATATCTACCAACTCAGTCCACTAGTTGAGCAAATCTTTGTTGATGGCAATTCACTTAACGATTTTCCAGTAGCTATAGTTGTACCAAATATCAAAGAGTTGACTAAGCGCATAGTGGCTAAGGCGAATTTAAATGACCCATTGTTATTGAACGGTAATAAAAAAGAGACTGAGGTGTCTAAATACAATTTCAATGATTCTATTCCAATAGTAGATACTTCAACACTATGTTCACAGCCTGCAGCACGTAAAATTGTTGTTTCAGAATTAGAAAATTTAGGAAGGAAAAGAGGACTAAAAGGATTTGAGATAGTAAGATTTTTGCAACAGTTTTTTCAGAGGTTTTGGTCTTTTGCTCGTTTGCTATTTCAGTAAAAATTTTATGTATTGTATTGTACTCGTACTGCTTTAGCTATTAACCTAAGATCTTTGATTCTCAAACTCTGGGTCAAAATAATGCGTGGATTATGAAAGCAGTTTTTTTGAGGTTTAGATTATACGCAAAAAAGGTTTGGGTAAATGATGTTAAAGTTGATATTTTATGTGGTAATCTTTCGGTCAGATTTAAGTGAGCGTAATGCATTCTTTTCTAACCTTTTGGTAGTTTTTAACGAACATTCGTTTTTGAAGCTTTTTGGGACGTTCTCCATCTTCTGAAGCGTTTTCCAAAGAATTACAGGGTGCTTTCAGCGTCAACCTATTTCACTAGAAACAGTGCTAGCGATTGTAATCGGTATAGGGGTTACAGAGCAAAGTTAGTTTTGTTTACCTTTAATTTCAAGTAGTGCATCTAGTAAGTCTCCTCAGGAAAAAAAAGTCAATTTATTTTATTTATTATGATGTTAGATCAGCGAACGCTGTAAATAAGCAATAATCGACAGTTTTTTCAGTCTCTAGTATAATATTCGGTTAGATTTCTGCTTTCTTGTGTTCAGTAATTGCTGGTAATCCTGCAAATAAACCAACGTGATGATTACTTTGAATATGTAGATTTGTACGTGTATTGTTTGACATAGAGATACAAACAGATCTGAACTTATATAATCTAGTCGATTTATTCCCGACTACTGAAGTGAGAAGTTATAATGTGATCTCGCTTCTCAATGCCCCTTTCACCGAAGGAATAGATTAATTTATCTTAAGTAACAGGCTTGAGTAAAGCATTTAAACTGTACGGTACAGTAGTTTCCACTGTATTATTTTTCAAACGAAAGAACTATAGACAGAAATATTAATCAAATCACGCGGATGTATATTAAATGAAACCGGCTAAAGTGAACAAGGAATATCCTGAATACTTGTTTGGAACTATTGTACCTATAGACATTTTACGGAATTTTTTAACTGAAGATACTCTAACGTTCAGTCCAACTCTGCCTATAGCTCTTCTGTGGATAAGTCAGGTCACATGACCGGGTGAAGAAGGAGTGTTAGGCATGAGGTCGGCAACCCCACCCCGCAGAAAACAACATTGCTAAAAAACGCTAACTAGAATAAACAAACCAACCATTTAGACTCTGCCCTGGGAGTTGAAGGAAGAATGATGACGCCTCATGAAGAAAGCCGAAATTCTTCGTAAGTCGCAAGGCTGACGCCCCTTCTAACAACCAGAGCAACAATTTTTATAGGTACATGGAACGTCCGGACTATGTAGGAGACCGGAAGCATCAGTCAAATAGCAACGGAAATGAGGAGATACAATTTGGTGGTTCTCGGAATCAGCGAAACCCATTGGACCCAAGCTGGACAGCAAAGGCATAGATACGTGAGAGATGTTGCTGTACTCCGGTCACGAAGAGGAAAATGCTCCACACACTCAGGGAGTTGCTCTGATGCTGTCCAAAGAATCACGAAACACACTTATAGGATGGGAATCTCATGGACCCAGGATCATCAAAGCATCATTCAAAACAAAGAAGGCGGGAATTACAATGAATGTTATCCAATGTGATGCACACACTAATGATAGCAATGACGACGATAAAGATCAGTTCTACGAGAGGCTGCTCAGGAAAAGACCTGACCATCCTGATGGCAGATCTAAACGCCAAAGTCGGGATAAACACCAACGATGATGAAGATATCATGGGACGACATGGACTATGAGAAAGGAACGAGAATGGCAAGGGATTTGCAAATCTATGTGCATTCAACAAATTAGTTATAGGTGGCACAATATTCCCAAACAAACGCATACACAAAGCAACATGGGTCTCACCGGACCACACCACAGAGAACCAAATAGATCATATTTGTATCAATAAAAAATTCGCAAGGTCAATGGAAGATGTGAGAACCATGAGAGGAGCTGACATAGCTTCTTATCACCACCTGGTTGTGGCCAAGATAAAACTGAAGTTAAGGAAGCATTGGACAGCTGGGGGAACAGCATTACAAAAGTTCAATACAGTCTTCATTCGACATACTGATAAACTCAACGAATTAAAGATAACTCTCAACAACAAGCTACTATGGAGGACGATTAGAAAGGGATCAAAGAAGCACTAACTTCAGCATGTCAGGAGGTGCTGGTTCGCAAGAAACATCATAAGGAACTGATCACTATCGAAACCCCACACAATATTCAAGAAGGAAAGAAAGAACAAGAAGATAGCAATTAAGAGCAGCCGAACAAGAAACAGAGACAGTTAAGGCACAAGCGGAATACATAAAAGTAAACAAGCAAGTGAAGAAGATCATTAGTGTCGACAAGCAGAAATACGCGGAAGAACTAGCAACGACAGTGTAAAAAGTTGCAAGAGAAGGTAATATGAAACAACCACATGATACAACGAAGAAACTAGCAGGGAGATATTGTAAACCAGAGAGACCGGTCAACGACAAAGAAGGCAAGCCAATCACTGACGTAAAGGTAAAGATTGGCAAAGCATGTGAAGGATTCCCACAACTGAAGAACATATGGAGCTCAAAACAACAGTGAGCCAACATCAAAGTCAGAATCTTCAATACGGACGTCAAGATAGTTCTACTGTAAGGGGTTGAAACTTGGAGAACTACCACAACCATAATCAAAATGTACAGGTATTTATAAACAACTGTCTATGTAAGATACTGAATGCCTGTTGGCAGGATACCATCAGCAACAGTCTACTGTGGGAGAGAACAAACCAACTTTCAACTGAAGAGAAAATCAGGAAAAGACGTCGGTGGTTGATAGGACACCCATTGAGGAAATCACCAAACTGCATCACTAAACAAGCGCTAATTTGTAATCCTCAAAGGAAACGGAAAAGAGGATGGCCAAAGAACACACTGCTCCGAGAACTGGAAGCAGATATGGAAATGATAAATAAAAATCGGAAAGGATTGCCCAGGACAGAGTTGGGTGGAGAGTGCTGGTGAGCGGCCTATGCTTCTCCATGAAATGTTACATGGTTTAGTAAGTCACATGCAATCTATGTATATAGATTCAATAGTGTTTCTGTTCTTCACCTTTGTTTGTAGGGTTTTTACTGAATCATTATCCATTTATTTGTTTCAACAGAATTTTTGATATAATGAACTTGGGAAATAAAATGGTGCACTGTGTGTGCGAAACAGTCTACGATTTATATTACACATACAGTCATTCAATATTCGTTGTTACTTATATAAATAAATGAACTGCTTGATATTAATTCCTTTCAGATTAAACGTGTTCACCTTTCTTCGTTTCCATTCACTGTGGAAAATGGTTTGCTCACCTCGAATTTGAAATTGGTGAGATCTCGACTACGGGAAACATTTTCAGATAAATTACATTTGTTGTACGAAGAAGCGTGCTCATAATATAATATTACGCCTTTATTTCTACTGAAATATTTAGTGAGATTCATAGATAAATAAATGTTTCTTTAGAAAATTCATATCCTTCGCACTAACACTTTATATTTAGTTCTATACAAATCATTATGAATTAACTACTTACATTTTTCCCATGTCTTTTGTTCCTTAATCTTGTAACGGATACGGTGAATATCATGTACCCATGTATTTTTGTTTGAATAAGATCCATGTTTTTCTGGTACTGAAATTTTGTGTGGAATATGTTTCAATATGACTTATTTGTTTATTTTTATTCTTATGTCAACGCTATTTGATGTCCGATGTAATATGGATTTATCGTAATATCACGTAGGTTATGTCCATTGGAGATGTGTTTTAAGGCCAAAAGATAATTATTCCTTTTCTCCATAAAGAACGTTTACTAGCTGTTTGTGCTCAAGCAGTTCTAATGTATGATTGGTTTCTAGATGTTGATCCTTTCCTAACCGGATAGTTTACTGTCTTTTATATCCGAGCTCGTTTTTATCTGGCTTTCGAACAAATCCGTCCTATGATTACAGCACACTGACACTAGTCACTCTTACCTAGTTTATCAATCGCGCTTTCATACCATTGTGAAACTCACAAATTATTGTATGCAACCAAAACCAAGATGCTCTGTTATCCAGTCCTGATCCTCCAACCAACATTACAATTCTTCACTGGCATACTTTTGCAGTAATTGTTCCGTAATAATGGTATCATAAATACATAGAGAATTTGGATGATATGGTTCAGAATTGATCTCAATGACACAGATGCATCAACTGTTTCACTTCTCTTAAATCTTGAGTTTTAAGGTTGGGTTTTTTTTATTTCTTCGATTTATTGTTTATGCCAAATTTTTGTGTTGCTGCTGGCATTGATGCCGTTTCCGCTACTCTTTCTTGATAATTTCATCCGACTATCTTCATGTATTGCGATGATTCCAGTCAGTCAGTAACAACGTGGCCCAAAGAACAGATAATGGCGACCGTTTGTTGCAGCTATGCTCAGATAACCGCCTGTTCCTTGCAAATACTAACTTTAAGCATAAGGAAAAACATCTTTTAACATGGCGACCCCCGAATTCGTCCCAACGTTGGACCCGAATAGATCACATTGCTATCAGCCACCGATGGAGGGGCTCGATAGAAGACTGTCGCTCATTCTGGAGCACATGCTTAGATTCAGATCATGCTCTAGTGCGAGCACGTATTTGCCTGCGTTTTACTGGACGTAAGAAAGAGGCTGCAAGTAAACCTCTTAGGGTCCTGTTTAATGATAGTCAAACTAAGAGTATATTTCAAGAACAACTTGAAAAATAGTTAGGCAGCCATGTATGTGATGCCCATCCCGAGGCAGCATGGAACGATATCCGAAAAGCTGTGGAAACAGCAGTGATATCTGCTAGTAAGGTAAATCAGAAAGTTAGGGAGCAACACTGGATCTCAGCAGCATCTATCGCACTGATAGATGCTCGAAAACTCATTCCATCTGGATCTGAACATAACGAGCTGAGTCAGCGCAAGCTGACAAGGAGCCTACGTAATTATCGCGAACAGTGGTGAGTAGCGAAAGCAAGAGAGATGGAAAAGGCAGCGGCAATAGGTAATAGCAAACAATTGTTCAGACTCGTTAGGGAAACCGGTATCGGGAACCCGACTGTTAGTGAAACACTCTCAGAGAAAGATGGACATATTATACATTCTCAATTCAGGAGATTGGATCGATGGGCATAACACTTCAGGGGTCAGTTCAACTGGCCTTCAGCCACACTTCGTTTTCCCACGATCTCCGGTCAACCTGAATGGCAAGTTAATGTAGGTCCTCCGACTCTATGAAGTTGAACAAGCAATAGAAAATCTGAAACGAGGGAGAGCAGCAGGCTCTGACTAGTTTACTACTGAGATTTTTTAGGATGGTTCAGTATTAGCAAGGTCACGGGAAGCAGAATCAGGGCTTCCAGATACACGAATTTTGAATCGAGTCGGTTCTTTATTTTGGCATGGTGAGGTCAGATGAATGACGCTACTCGGTTTCAGGAGACCAAGAATAGCGATCCACGTACTCGGATCGTTTGCCCTAGCTGTGCGAGGTGATAAAGAGACGTTGGGGGGGGGGTTAGTCATGGAGATGAGAGAGGTATTAGTAGGTGTAGAAAGGATTTGAATGTGATCAACTTGGTCTCGTGTGCTGTTACGGGTATGAGGTCTGATATCACTTCCCGGCTGCCCACACCGTGGAAGGGTATTTCTTGAGGAACCTGAAAAGGAAATTGGATCAGTGTTGGTCTTGACGACCTGGGAGCGTGACTTCAGAACCCGAGGGACAACTGCTTGAAGCCGGTCGCGCACGGCCTTTTCGTGGAAAGTTTTTAATGTGTTAGCTCCGTTCTTCATAGGGCCTTAACGCTGGAGACGGAAATCCGTGAGGTATGACATTTTTAGGGTCGACCTTTTCTAACCCCACCCTTCCTTATGGGAAGGCAGCATCGCTGCAGATGCTGGTTGTCCGAGGGAAACACCTTACAGCTGTCACACCCCTCTACAGTCAGCAGTGTGACTTCGCCCTCAGACCTTGAGTTGCTGCTTTTATTCTTACCGTTCTCCAATCGACCTGACTGGCATGGTAGAACCTACAGGAACATATGTTCCAGCCAATATAGCTCTGTTGGGTCATCACGATAGGCAAGCCCTACCATCGCGTCAAGGTAGCAGCTTCGGTCGGGTGATGATTTCAACCAATGCACATAAGCGTTAGGTACCATAACTTTTGGTTTTCAAAGGACCGGAGTCTGGATAGCCTGTTCTGGTTCTAATAATAGGAATATGTTAGTCGATTCAACCTTCGTAACCCGTTGATAGATGGGGATTTAACCACGAGTTCCACTGGTTGACAGTTCGATGTGATATTGCAGATTTAGTTAACAGGTAATTGGTTCTGGGCTTGCTAACTATTTTGGAATGTCACTATAGAGTTTCTCTTCTCGAAGACAAAGAAAGTAAAGACACGCAAGCCTCTCGTCACACGGGACTGTCGAGGCTCCTGAGACAAATTTATTCGTGATTTTTAAAATAGCTCTCTGTGCGTTTAGCCAATTCCTAATTATCCCTAACCCATACATCTTATTAGATGTGATAGTCTTAATAATCTAGTAGTCAACAACTGGAAGGAGAGAGTATGCGATCTTGTATAACACCAGTCTTCAACTGAAGTGTATCGGTCAACTGCCAACCGTGCATAACTTTCAACTTCAGTTGATCTTAGGAGCTCCATATCTTAGTGACGGCATTCTCGTATACTCCATAGTGTCCACGATTACACAAGCCTTCTCTATACGCATTTTCGAATGCCTTCCCATAATTAAGAAAGTTGGTGTGTAACGTTAAGTTTTATTCGATCAAGTGTTCAATAATTCTCGACAATGTCGCATTTTACTCCGCATATACTATCTCTACGTGAGCCAACTTTTTAAAGTCGAGATAGAGCGCTTAAATTTTCATTCGGATCGGGAACAATCCATAAAAAACTTTGGAATGCCACTAACATCAGTGCATTTCCGCCGTAGTTCTATCACTTGCTTATGTTTCTAACTTCAGTGCTTTAGCTAGTAATTGTCTGGTGCTCTGCAGTTCTTGATTTGTTTAATGAATTTGATGGTTTCTTTCATTGTTGGTCGGGTTCCAGGTATTAGCTTATATACATTTCTTTAAACCTTTTGCGATAGCTCTCTGTGTGTTTAGGCAAGAGCTAAATGCTTGTATGCAATACTTCAGTTTTTATCAAGTGAACACGACAAAGTCAGGAATGGAAGCTCTACGTAACGGCTATAAGTTTTAAAGACATTTACCATATATTGCATGGCAGTGCTCAGTAGTCTTCAAATATTGGGTGATATTGACTCCTGCATCATTTATTGTCTGAACAACGGGTAGCTCGACGTTGTTCTCTATGTATGTATTTGTACCCTGGTGACCAATATACATCACAACACATTTGGAAACGTTTAGCTGCAAGTACCGAATTTTAAATCATTCAAATCGTTTCTATACGATTTTCTGTGGCTATGAACTGTCCTCTTAGTATTGTATCGCTCTCCGTATTTTGATATTCTCTGTGTGCAACAAGATCGATAATAATAGAAGACTGAGAAGGTCATTTGCATATAGAGACAATAACACTGGTCCCCAAACTACCACGGGAGATCCCACTAGGAACTTTTCATCCAGACGACTTACGGTCAACCGATACCCTTTGTTGCTTTTGATTTTTGAGAACACACCAAATTTCTTGTGCTTTTAGTTTTTCGAGATAATCATATTTTTATCTAGATAATTAAACTAGTAGTTACGAAATTTGTCACAACTTCTCTATTTGAACTTGATAGGTGACAGTTTGTAGGTTCAATGACAGTACATTTTTATTCGGACTGAATTCTCAATGTGAGATTCCCGGTCTCTCGGTTATCAGCGTTGTTATTTATAGTCTTACTCGTATACCTTTAGTTTTAGGGATTATGTGTAACAATTCATCTTGTATTTTAATTTTCCTTTTATCGGGTCTCAAATTCGGTTGTAACATTGTGGTTTTACCTCCTTACTATTGTGGCATGCTTTCTATTTTTCTTTACTCATGTTGTAGGGCACTTTATAGGACTCCATAATGAACGTTTTGTTATACTGACTTGTAGATTTTCTTTCATTATTGAGACTTGTTTCCATTGGCTCCTTATAAACCATCTTTTGCTTCTTCCATCTGGTGGAAACGAGTAGAAGCCGCTTTGTTGAATTATGGCGTTTAACGTTTTTGTTTTGCGTGGTATCATTTGTCATGTATGCTGTGATGGGTCTTGGAAGTACAACTTCCTTTGATCTGCAAAGCAACCTCTTCGGAATATTCCAGTTCGATTTATTAGTATACTGCAGTTATTAAGTGTTTAATTTCTTTTTTATTTGTTTTATTTTCTCTTATGCTTGGGGTTA